AGAAACACCAATCAGAAAGGATATATGCACCCAGATGTCCATAGCAGCACAATTCACCATAGCTTAGATCTGGAAACAGCCTAAGTGCCCATCAGTAGATGAATGGATTAGAAAACTGTGGTACATCTACACGATGGAATACTATGCTGCTGTTAAAAAGAAGGAACTCTTACCATTTGCAACAGCATGGATGGAACTGGAGAGCATTATGCTAAGTGAAACAAGCCAGTCAATGAAGGAAAAATACCACATGATCTCATTCTTTCATGGATAATTAAGACCATTACAAACTTTTGAACAATAATAAATACAGTGGCAGAGCTGCCTCAAACCGATTGTCAGACTTCAGTGGTAAGGCCAGGGAGGGTTGGGGGACAGGAGGGAGGGGAGTAAGAGATCAACCGAAGGACTTGTATGCATCCATATAACCATAACTAATGGACATAAGACACTGGGGGGTAAGGGAGGGCAGGGGCTTGTCAAGGGTGGGGGGGGAAAAAAGGACACATATGTAATACCCTTTGTAATGCTTTAAGCAATAAAAAAAAAAAGACATCTTCTGAAAGATCCATGGAAAGGACTCTGATTTTTTAAGTCTTGTCTGTGGGTTGTGCGCACCCGTAAATATCATACATAGAGTGTCTCTGCTGATTGTTGTTTTGTGTCTTTGTTGTTTGGTTTAATTTGTTTAAATATGGGGCATATTTCATTTTGCCTAGGGACCCAGCCACTTGTGGCAGGGATGGCAGGAACTTCCCAGCAGCTGCCAAGAATTCTTAATCTTAGGGTCACTTCCTGCTCTCCCTCTCAAGGCATCAGCCACTGGAAACTTAGCTTGTAGAAGTTCTTGTCTGTCTGTAATGGAACTTGGTTACTGACTGATGTTTTTTTGCTTGCTTTCTTATCTTTGGGGGATGTAGTTTGCACTTCACCATTTTATGAACATAGGGAATCCTCCATCTCTGCTGTTTGGGCTTTGTGCCCCTTAGAACCCATTTACTGTGCTGGGTTAGTGTGAGATAAAATTCTAAGGCTAATGTTCCACTCCACCCTTTTGTGAATACTCATTCATTTACTGTTGGGCTTTTTTTCTGTTTCTCTTTTTAAAATTTCTTCTTATATACAGTGGGTCCTTGACTTACGAGTGTCCCGACTAACGAGTTTTTTGAGATAGGAGCCTTCTTTCAGCCGATTTTTTGCTTTGAGTTATGAGCTAAAATTCGGGTTACGAGCCAGCTTCAGATACCCCACCGCTAGTTGGCGCATTGAACGTCAAAGTGAATGCCACAACATCAGCCCAGCATCACGTGTCTCATTCATTCACTTTTTGATGTGACATATGAATAATTTGAGTTATGAGCTCCTTCACGGAACGAATTGAACTCGTAAGTCAAGGCCCCACTGTAAAAGATTTCCTACTATTAGTCTACTTTTACAAAGAAAAATATGCAAGAGCAATAAAAAAAGAAAGAAAGAAAAATATGGGAAATAATTATTTAAACTCCCCAAGTATTTATCCAAGAGGACCGGAGCGACAGAAATACCCTTTAATAGCTGCAGAAGCAGCTGCAGTGGGGTGGGGGGCACTCTTCTTGTAAAGGAAAAAAATGGTACTTTTGCACTAAAGCCATTAGAGGTCCAGGAGTTACTGAAGTCCGGGAACATATCCCAGGACCTGCTATTTCCCCACATACACACATACCTGTTCTCCATCCTCCGGACAGTTGTCTCTGTTCTCCTTCTTAATGAGTATATCTTCCATCGGAAAAATAATCCTATTTCTGAAGGTAAAATAGTTTTTCCTGTATTTGCCTAGGAAGCAAAGGTTTTATATATATGATTAAAATGGTTATGTTATGTTAGTCAGGAACTTGGTTACTTTAAATGAATAGATTACTTACTACTGTTTAATAATAATAATACTACACAATATATAATCTTTTATTCTAATGTATTGGACTACATTCCCAGGGTTTGAATTTTAAGAAACTTTTCCTTGTCCTAGAATTGGCTCATTCCATTAGGCTCCTGAATGCCTCAAGTGTTTGTTTTCTCTCCCATGAAAGAAAATTTTCTACTTATGGTACATGGGAAGCTTTGTCAAATAATAATAACTATATTATGCTTTCATTTATAGCTCTAATTATTATTCTGGAGAATTGTGTTTTGCAAAAAGGACAAGATTCCATGTCATTTGCATTACTCTATAGAGTATCTGGATTGATAGAAGTAATAGCAGGAAAAATCAGGAGAAACAAAAATTTTAATATGGGGCTGAATGAATAGGAAAATAATTATATAGATTTTATAACACTTGTTGAAAGTATCGCTAATTCTTACACTTTTTGTTTTTCATATGTAAGGAAGCATTTTTAAAGCAAGTTGGTAAATTATATATTAAGAACTTATTAAGAACATGTGGCAATATGTTTCTTTGCATGAATTCAATAAGACCTGTTTCCAATTGTAGCCTTATGCATTCCCTCCTCCAATTCCTCTCTGTACTGTATGATTGCTCATAATCAGATTTGGTTACATATAATTCCTAAACATGACCAGATTAAGGCCCATCTAACCTTTCTTTCAGCAGGCAGTCTGGCCTGCAGCAATCTGACTAATGTCACTGTGCCTCCCATCCCTCTGTCCCTCCGTGTAAGTAAAATAAGGGGTGGGACCCCTCAGCTGAAGCATTCCATTGGGAAGTTTTTCAAGGAAATCATGCCCATTTGATGGTCCTAGGGGACCAACAGGTTATAGATTGGAGGCCACATGGTCATTTGCAAGCCAACCACACTGACATTTTGGTACACCATGAATCTCATACTAGTTCCATGGGTTATGCAGGCATGTGGTTTGGACTGAGGGAGGGATGAGTTCCCCAAGACCTCGAGTGCTAGGCTTGCCAGTTCAGGAAACCTGATGGAGATTATGCCATGTTTTCAACCCTTTGAAACTATAGCACGCTGACTACCAGAACTCCAGCCACTATAGTAGGACTTTTACTGATAATCATACTGACCATAGCCTCATTTGCACCACTCACCCCTATTTCTTTGTTATGGGCCCCAATCTACATAGTCACCATCAGTGGATTGATGTTAAAAAGGATCTATGGGGTGTCCTCCACTATAACCTTACTGAAGAAGTAAAGATGTTGCCAAGGAAAATTAAAGAGTCCTTACTTGCTATCAATGTACATGAAAAACAGAGTATTGCTTGGAATACGGTAAAGGAGCATTTAGAGTGGATAGACCCCACCACATGGTTTCCTAGAATCAATTGGTACCTGATTGGACTAACCATTGCTGCCATTGTAATTCTCTTTGTTTTTCTTATAGTCTACAAAATCAGAACTCAAGTGGAGTTTTGAAGATGGCGGCCGACAGGAGGGCAGTGAGGAAGGGAATGAGGGAGCAAAGGGGAGTGTGTGAATGTGTGTGGGGGTGTGCATGTGTGAGTGAGGGACAGTTATATTCTGCAGGACTGTTTGGGGCTGGCGGACCAGGGTCCCATAGCCGGGCAGCATCTACTACCATTGCAATCTCTCCCAGGGTAGCCGCATCTGCTACAGAGACTGTGCCATCTTGAAGGGGAGAGCGGCTGTGATCGGCAGCCCAGCCTTACCTTCACCAGGGAGACCTCAGACACCACCCTGGACCCTACTGCCACACGAGCCAGGGACCTGCTTCCTCACCTGCAAACCGATGAGCACCAAGACTCCAGCCTCCCCAGCTGCCGGCTCCTAAACATTTTGTCCAGGGGGAGAAAAAATGGTGGCCAAATAGGGTGAAGTGTTCTGTGCCTTCTCACAGAGCGGATAGAAGAAACAGCTGAATCGAATAACATTCACCTAGAATTGGCAAATTAAACACAGCTGGTGGGACAATCCATGGCCCGAAAGGGACAGAGGGCTCCTGGAGAACAGTAGCATTGGGGATCTGTGCTGGAGTGAGAGTCATGTGCAACCAGGACTAAAGGTTCAGAAGGAAACTGGGCTGCACCAAGTCTGCATCCCTTGGGGACACACGTAACACTCGACTGTGGAAGGGGGTCCACAGGGCTGCTGGCAGTGGGGGACTCTAGATCTAAGTCCACATGCATAGCAGGCTGCACTCAGAAAGGCAGCCTGAAGTTCTGCACCAGCCTCGCAGGGCAAGGGGGAGAGAGATGCTCGCTCTGAGGTGCTGTTGCTCTATCTTTATATTTTCCCTGCTTTTACTTGCTAAACCCAGTACATAGGATCTTTCAATTACAAACACTCACCAAGGATGTGATTCAGGAAAAGGTGGTTTTGTGGAAGCTGGGGAGCAAAATAGGGAGAGGTAACTAGGAAGCCAGCTCTGAGACAGTCTGGTCCCTCCAACCCTGAAGAGACATTTTTCTCCTGAAAAGCGAGCCCCTCCTAGCAGAACTGCCTCACCCCGCCTTGAGCTCAGCAGGGAAACAAGGATTCAGAATACCCCAGGGAGCCCTTGGGGACTGAGTTGAGGGGCCATTTGGTCCTGGAATCTATTACAGCAACACCTGAACCTAGAGCCTGTGTCAGAAATAGATGCTTGTGTAAATACAACTGAAAGGAGGCAGTCAAACAAATCGAGCAGATTGATCCCATCTGCCTGAAAACAAGGCCGTGGATTCTGACAGAGGAGTGATACATAGGTGAGAACTTCAACATGGTGCTGACTACCAAACAGGAAACTGAGGCATGGCAGACAGAGGGGGGTCTTAAGTAATCCCCCATAGGACATTAAAACTCAGCTGAAGCGAACGAACTACACGTCACTACTTCACTTTTTTACTTTTTATCGATTACTTAAGAAATTAATTTTTTCTTTATTTTATATTATCATTCTTATTATTAATCTTGTATATTTGGATTTGTGTTCCACATTCTATTTTTATTGTTATTTTTATCATTATTTTACCTCATTTCATTTTTTCCTTTCTGCAAATCTTTTCTTCCTCACGTCTCCCTTTTTCATCCTGTTTCTATCCACCTGTTCCTGCTTTAGATTTTCTCTCACCTCTCTTTGTTCTCCTTTTTAAAAATTCATCATTTTTATCTGCTTTATTGATGCATTACTATTCTCTTTTCCCTTTCTCTTTCTTCTTTGTGCACTAGCCAATTTTGTTGTTGTTGTTGTTGTTGTTGTTGTTGTTTGTTTGTCGTTTTTCTTTTATGATTCTGTTTTTCCTCTCCCTGTTTGTTAATAGCTTAATTAGTTTTACTCACCAAACTCAAGCCTATTTGCTCTGTACTGTATTCTCCTTTTCCAAAAATAGATGAATATATATATAAAAGAAAAGGAAAAAATCATATATATATCATATATATATATATATCATATATAGATTATATATAATATATATATATATATATATATATAATGAGTATTTTGTTTTTTTACTTTTCTTCTTATACACTCATTCTCTTTCTATCTCCTCTATACTGAATCATGGCCATTTGCCATTGCCCATTCATTCAATTCCTTTACCTTACTTTCTGGATATAAGCTCTGCCTCTTCAGATTCAGTTGCCCCCCTTTTTTTCTGGGTGTTTGTTGTTTGCATTTTTGAGTTTATTTGTTGGTTTTGTGGAGTTATATCCATATATATATATTCCCTTTTTTTCTTCTTTTTCTTTTCTCTCTTACCTTTTTTTTTTTCTTTTCTCAATATCATTTTTGTGCTCTTCCCCCCCCCCCCCCACCCAGTTTCCTTTTCTCTGGTGGTCACCTTTATTTGGGATCATAGGTGTCATAAATACATTCATTTTTGTTTCCAGTGTCTCATGTCTTGTCAAGTTGTATTATGTGCCTTTTGATTAACATGGTAGAGGGTGAGCCACATAACCAGACACCCTGAGAGGAGCAAATATGTGGAGACAAAGAAACAGCCCCCATACAAAAGAAAAGGAAAAATCACCAGAATAGGAAGTAAATGAAATGGAGGCAAGAAATTTGTCACAGAAAAAATTCAGAGCAATGGTCATAAGGATGCTGAAAAGGATGAAAGACAAATTCAACAACATGTGTAAGAATCAAGAGCAAATGAAGAAGAACCAAGAATAAATGAAGAATGACATAGCTGCAATAAAGAACACAATAGAAAGCATCAACAGTAGACTAGGAGGAGGTGAAGACCACATCAGCGAGCTTGAAAACAAGGTAGGAAAAAACAACCAAGCAGAGCAGTAACTGGAAGAAAAAACTTAAACAGCAGGAGGAGAGCCAAAGGGAGCTTTGGGACAACACAAAATGAAAGAAAATCCTCATAATAGGGGTGCCAGAAGAAGAGGAAACAGACCAAGAAATGAAGCAATATCTGCATAATAAGGGTGCCAGAAGAAGAGGAAACTGAGCAAGGAATATAAAACCTGTTTCAAGAAATAATGACAGAAATCTTCCCTAGTATTGGGAAGAAAAAATGCTCACAAGAAGCCTAAGAAGCTCACAGAGTCCCAAAAAATTTGAACCCAAGAAGACCCACACCAAGAAACATCATAATTAAATTAGCAAACACCAATGATAAAGTAAGAATTTTAAAGGCTGCCAGAGATACAGAAAGTTACCTATAAAGGATCTCCCATCAGACTATCAACTGATTTCTCAACAGAAACACATCAGGCCACAAAAGAATGGAATGAAATATGCAACGTGATGCAAAGCAAGGGACTGAACCCAAAAATACTATACCCAGCAAGGCTATCATTCGAAATTGAGGTGAAATTAGGAGCATCACAGACAAAAAAAGACTAAGGGA